TAACTATCAAAACGCCTGCCATTTGAAATAAATAAATTTCTAAATACTAAGTCATGTAGAATTATATTATTTCATAAACTAAACTTATATCTTAGCAAATAATCTAAAATATTTTCCTCAAAATCATCTCTTTGTAGTATTTTGAAAAAATACATTTCTCTAATTCAAATTTGTGGCATATATATCATACTAACATTAATGACAAAATTTATACCATTGAGGAAGTTGAACAACTTTTTGATTAATAAAATGCAATAAAATGATTCTCAATTAATGTCACTTTCAGATACTATTTCATGCAAAGAGGCATAAAATTGACATCTGTAACTTGCGAAAAGATAGACCATGGTTGGGAAAAGTGAACCGAACGAACGTACAGGAACAAGATCTTTGCCCTATCATGTTCAACAAATATGAATTGTTTCATAAGGTCATGAAGTTTGAAATCAGTTTTTTGATTAGTCTGAACCATAATGTCTGTAGTGGTTGGATTATGCATATTAATAGGTTTAATTAAGTGGCTATTCTGGGATCCAGATACATTTGTCGCTTTAAATTTGCATCAACGCTAACTAAGATGTTTTCAAGATGCTGTTGAAAGATGTCTGTAAGTGAATTCAATTTTGTCGAATAACTGCCAACAATAACCATCCCGAGTGCGATCAGCTGAGTTAACTTGAATCTGTAGCGGATTAACTACCTCAATAACCATGACTATTCTCAGAAAGCTCTATAGCTCGGAAATACGTTTATTCAGTACGTATATTGATAGCGAAGTGTGTACACGCAGGGAGCTACTCATGATCAGGATGGGGGATTAGGTTAAACAAACAGATGTTAAGGATTGGTCACTGTTTGTACGGTCGCACCTCCCAACAAACAAACAGAGGCTAGTGATTGGCCACTGTTTGTACGGTCGCTGCACACAGAGTTGACGCACCTCCCATCCTGGCGAGCAGACATGCAGGCATAAGATGACGCACACAGCGATAACGTGTCCCACAAGGTAGATATGTGCACACAGCGATAACGTGTCCCACATGTCTAAGCCAGCTAGATGACATGAGAGATGACCAATTGTTTACAGAGCGAAACGTGTCCCACAAATGCCTTGGTTACGAACTGACTATGAAACTTTTTAAAGATTGAATTACAGCGAAAATTTATTTGTCGAAAATGAACAGCCATCAACAAAATATTTTTTAAAACAGGCTCAGAGGATAACGCAATATCTTATACTTACATATCAGGCGAATGGGGGAGATGTCACTAGGGTTGAAATGGACATTCATTTAGATGGGAGTTTAGGTAAATGTCATTGTGTCATATTGAAACCCTTGAAATGGACAAACAACAAAGACAAATCTGATGTTGATTGATTTAAAAGTTCATGGGAAGACAAGGCATGAGTCGAATGAAGTAGAACAAATGGCAAGAGGACGTCATAATACAAAAAAATACAACCTCGAAAGTGATTCTTTACCCGCTGGAATAAAAACTTATAACCAAATTAGTCACAAAATAATTGAAAATACTCATTTCTATTGCAGTTTGTTTGGAGTGGTGAATTTAAAATGGTTCCGAAGAAAGTAATTGGCAAAGCAACCGTGGTTCGTACGCTCTCAATCAATAATTTTGTTCAACGAATACTTCTAGTCACTTTCTGGGTATACTTCTGCAAGCACTTCTTGTTCGCAGTGAATGCCATGAAAGTCATGGCGCCAACCATTGAACGAGTTCTAAAGGATCAAGGTCAAACATCAGATTGGGGTATTTTGAGTTATGTAACGCTGATGATAATTATGCGGTTCAATGCCTACTATGTCATCTTCTACAACCTCTCAAGACTGGTTGGTGACTTTCAGCAATTCCTTCTCTCTCCTGCTTTCAGTCCTGAGGCTAATAAATCAATATCTGGGAATGAGGAGGCAATACAAGTTTGGAGAAAGGCCTCTCTAGTTGAAAAACTCTTTAGACTTGAAATGGAGACCGAGTGTCTGATGCCGGAAGGACCTTGCTGGGCTGTATCCGCCGAGACATCGTCAGCTATTTGGCGGTAATTTCTCATTTCTCAAATTAATTAAGAATAACGAATAAACGATAGGCCATCACCAATTAATGAAATAAAATGAGAGAAAAACAAGGAAGTGAAGTGATAAAAGCAAAATTTTTCTCCATTTGAATTATTACCCAGGTTCAAGAGTAGCAATTCGGTGTCTTGATAATTGATCGAAATAAGTAACCACGATAATCGATATATGTTAGTTTACATCTCCAGTGCTCTAGAGCTAAATTCGTATTATGTATATTGTGCGGATAAAAGTCTGAGTTTTGAACAGGCAAAAGCCAAGTTATTCAGCCATCCAATTGAGATATGGTTACAGGAATGCCGTAAGAGCATAGGCAATGGAAGTGGTCCACAAAACAATCTCCTTAAAAAAAGGATCTTGATGCCACTTGGTGTGTGAAAAACGATCAAAATTAAACTTTAAGGAACCTTCTAATGTATGTATTATTACCTTTAGAAAATTTGACACGGGCCTGCACAATGTTCTAAAGCAGTAAGTTATTGGTGTTTAATTTTTAATTTAATAATAATTGCACTGCAATTAATAAGTAGGTACAGCTGATTGGAGCCTAGTCAAAAGGTGACAGGTCGTCCAAAAGCGAAAAATAACTAACAGTTTGCTTTTAAAAATCAGTTTTGTTGTATTAGGAGAAAACAGATTCCCCTGATAAATCGCCTTAATTAAATTAAAAGTTTCGCTTTGATTAAACAATAACTCCTCGTGAAATGATAGAAAAGGGTTGATTATGGGAATAAGGAAGCAGAGATACAACTATTATTGTAGAACCCTGACTTGAATTTAGGCTTTTTTTCCTATTGAGTTCTGTTTAAAAGGTCCGTATTTTAATCATTTATTTATTTATTTCGAATGGCAGTCATTTTATAGTTATCATTAGCCCTTAGCTGACTTCTGGTTTCACAGAGAGGAGGAGGAGGAACATCAAAGTTAGAAAAATTGAAGAGGGTGGACCGAAGAGTGATTTGCAGATGAAAAAGAGGCAGACACAATGGTAGGGAGCAGGGTTAGGTGAGTACTGTGGAAGTGGTCGACTATGACATACAGTGAGGTCATGGTAGTTTGAAGTCAGAAGTCAACTGCCGATCTATAGACTTTTTTGCTTAATGGTGCAGCACGTGAAGGTAAGTCTATCGCACACCCCATATTTTAATCATGAATGCCAGCGAATGCACAACGATTCTGAAATATCATTTTTCTCCGATTATATTATTAAGATGTCTTATGATGCACAAAGAATACTGATGAGTTTAGTGCTAAGTCAGGACATTACAAGCGTAGCCTTATTTTAATTAGAAGAGAATTGAAACATCTCTATTTTGAAATAGGGAATAGGCCTCAGGCAGTTAATTTGGATAATGATGATTATACGCTGTGTCAATTCAACGGTTAACCCGAGCTAATTAGATTTATTTACACCATTTGACACGTGGGTGTTTATATGTGCCAAAATTTTACCTACTTACTATACACCTGAAAGCTTAAAAATTAATGGGGGTGATTCCTATGACAAGAGGAACTTTTGACAAAATCAAGACGGTTTTCACACCAAAATAAAAGTTGTTTTTATCCTTATTTCAGTTACATCTACATTCCATGGATGGAGGTTGTTGTCAAATTACTTGACAGAGGTGAGGTCAAGGGAAGACAGAAGTTGAGTCCCCTGATCAACCACTTCAGTGCCATTTGCGGCGCCTTATTGACCTTCATTTTCGTGCTCACATACCATCACTGGACCAAGGGCAATAGTAAGTTCGCTTTAGTACCCTGCTTAATGGGTCAAAACACGGAAAAACAATTGCCTTTGTATTAAATAATTTAATTCGGAAGCATCAAAAGGGGCTACCTAGGCTTGCTTACTAGATCTATGTACTAAGTGCATGACCATATTGTTATCACAATCACCCATGCTGAAGGTATCAATTTCCAAGACCAGGGGTGTGCGATAGACTTACCTCCACGTGGTGCACCCTGGGCAACGTATACTCATACGACAAAATAGTCCATTATTCGGCAGTTGACTTCTGACTTCAAACTACCATGGCCCGACTGCTTGTCATATTCGACCCCATTTACAGTACTCATCTTACCTTTTCTCTACCTTTGTGTTTGT